CCTTGTGTTTTATTTGGATAAATAAATAGTTTTGGCTGACGGTTCATTATAATCTGCATTTTGATTAAGTTTTAGGGAGCCTCCCTCTGTAGACGCGGCCCTGCCGGCATTAATCTAAAGTCAACATTAATGTAATAATCATATAAATCATGCTGCTCCTCTCCTCTTGGCTCTCCGGACAGAGACAAAGTGATTCCTGCTGCTCAGAGATTATCGGTCAGTTTCCTGAAGCCGAGCCGTGTGATGAATTCCTGCGACCTTGTCTCCGTCAGCTCCTCGCTCTCCTTCTGGACCGACCTCCTCCCGACACTGAAGGGCTTCTGCTAAATGTCAAGACTGAAGTGTTCCCGGCCCGATCAGCGGCGCCGAGCTTATCGGTGTCTGGATTCCTGACGGAGCTCCATTAACGCCGTAAAGGTCATCCGACCAAACATCCAGGTCCGCCGCGCCGGATGGATCCGGTTCACGGCCTGCTGTAGCAATCTGATCAGAGATGGAGATCCTGTGATGTGAACCAAATGTAGGTTAGGAGGCGATCATAATGGATCATACCGGATCAGAACGGATCCGAATGGATCAGAATGTTTTCTTTGTTGGTTCCATGATTTTTATCTTCCTTGCATTAATGTAATGTATTACACCATATATTTTCTACTTTGATATTAAAAGTAAAAACAAAGAAGAAAAAGAACGGATCGGGTTGGATCGGGTCGGATCAGAACAGATCAGAACGGATCAGGTTGGGTTGGATTGGGTTGGATCAGAACAGATCAGAACGGATCGGGTCGGGTTGGATAAGAAGAGATCAGATCTCCTCCATTTGTCGTCTTCATCACAATGGGGACTTTCTGCCACACAGTAAAAATACTGCAGAGGCTGTTTAGTTTCTATAAATACAATGCAATATTTAACACAGAGGTCGCCATGTTGTTTACGCTGCAATGCATGCTGGGTAGATGATGCATGCTAGGTACTACGGTGCTAGCTCCATCCAGCCAGAACAGAAACTTTCAGCCATTTAAGTTTGAACTGGAGCGTTGAAAGAGAAAGAAATGACAAAAGGAAATAAAGATGAGGAAGAGCAAACGGAGGAAGAGGAGAGAGTTTGGTAAAACAGTCTGCTCTGCTAACATGGATGCAGAGCGAAGCTACAAGGAGCTCCAGTAACTAGCTGCTAATAGTTAGCATCAGGATCAAAACATTTTCTCAAATATATTAAAATGATGCTGCAATGACTGAAAGATGCTTCAGTGTCAATTTAAACATCCATTCATGAAAGTGCCATTTGTTTGGTGTTATCTCTGGCTAACAGTGTTAGCGCTACCTAAAGGTGTTAGCTGCTGTTAATCATGTTAGCTCTAGCTAATAAACGGTAAACAAGCGCTCATGTTTATTTCAGCAGACATCTTGTCGTGTTTATCTGGTCATGGAAACTTTGAGGCCTCAGGCCAGATGTTTTTGTGCTCCTCCCTATTCAGCCTCCACCTCCTCCACTTCCTGTACCTCCTGCACTTCCTCCACTTCCTGTACCTACTCCACTTCCTGTACCACCTGTACCTCCTGCACTTCCTCCACTTCCTGTACCACCTCCTCCACTTCCTGTACCTCCTCCACTTCCTGTACCACCTCCTCCACTTCCTGTACCACCTCTTCCACTTCCTGTACCTCCTCCGCCTCCTAAAGATGAACAGCTTCTGGAGTAATTATGAGTTTTTATATAACACAACAACTTTTAGATGAATAGGGAAATTACACGATATTCAGGCCATCTTTGTCTGTGTCTGTGGTTCTGCTGAGTCGGGCCTCGCTGCCGGACCTGGAGCTGATCTGGTTTTCTGATCTCAGCAGTTCGGTGGATTTACTGAGGGGTTTTTGTCTCTTCTGCTTTGTCTGCAGTTTTTCTGAAATTCTCTCATCGTTTTGTTTCGTTTGTTGATCTGATATTTTGTTTCTGCCTCCTCCCTCAGGGAGTTCCTGCTGCTCCTGAACGCATCGCGGATCCATGCGGTCCTGCTCTGAATGCGGTGGGGTTCGTCCAGGTGAGCTGCCGCCGTGAGGCCGGGTCACCTGCCCCTGCTGGCCTCTGATTGGCTCATCAGCTCTCCTGAGGCTGCAGCATCAGTACCTGGAGGAGAGGAGCGTGACTGCTTCAACAACTCCCCGATCAGAGAGAGCCAGGTCACGTGGACGACCTCTGACCTCCACTGTCAGCAGACATCATCAGTAAACCGTCTGAACATGGAAAGACAAACGTCAGGAAAATAACCACAAGCTTTTATGATCATATGTTATTTTTTCCTGAAGGGAAAAATTAAAAGAAAATACAATGTATGAAATTGGATCAGTTTGTTAATATTTGCGACTATTAAAATATATTTCATTCCTACAACAAACCACCAGCGAAGGAAAATGAAAATGATTTTTAAGACTTTTGTTTTTCTTGCTTTGGTTCTGAAGGCCAGTTAAATCTGGATTTTTCTTCTTCTCATCCAACAAACAGAAAAAGTGATTTTACAATGTTTTTTCTTCTTCTGCGTGAAAAGAAAAGAAAAATACTTGGCACATTTTTTCCCCAGTTGCCCTTCAGGGACTGAGCCAACAAAAGAGAAAAATGCAAAGAAAACTTTTTTTTTACTCTTTGCTGAAAAAATATAGTTTTATAAAGTCAGAAAACTGTTGATGAAATTTTGCATGTTACGATTTTTTTTAACTCTTTCTGGTGAAAAAACCCTTAAATATTTAAATGTCTGCAGGATCTGCTGATCCTGTAGCAGCACGGAGGTGGAGGGATGGTGATGTGGGCTTGTGCTGGAACAACCAGACTTATTTAATTTATTTACTAATAAAGCTTTGTTTGCCAGACTTTTTAAAATAACCTTTTATCTGATATTAAACAGGTCAGATAAAATTAAATCCACATTTCTGTTTTTAAAAGTTGATTTTTTATTAGTTTCATGTAATATTGTATTTTTGAATGTTATGTTTTTATTAATTAGCAGAAAATCATCATAATTAACAAAACATAAATACTACATAATGTGTTTCATGTAGTGATATTTATTCTGAAATAAATAGTTTTGTTTTATTAATATTCTAATGTTTTTATTTTTCTGATGTACATTTTACTTCACAGTCTTTTATTGTTTATTGAACATCTCTGGGGATCAATAAATGATATTTCTCTTCTGATTGTGTTTGGTTTTGGTTCTGATTATTGGGCAGTTCTGCATCTGATCTGATTCTTTTGTTACTTCCTGTTTTCAGGTGTCACTTCCTGTCAGCAGCAGAGCCACGCCCTCGCCTCCTCCACCTCTCAGCTCTGCAGCTCCTCTTCCTGCCCAGACATTTGATTTCTGTCTTCAGGTTTCGTTTCTCCATCTTGGACTCTGCGTCTCATCAGCCCACATGAAGGTGAATCCAGAGGTTGGTAAAGTGCAGATTTACTCTGTTGCCATGGTGAAATGGTTGTGTTTTAACTCTAAACGAGAGTCGTTTGTTTCCAAGCGGAGAGGTAACGGCTTCAGGCTGGAAATCCTTGGAGTGAAAGTTGTGATTGTGGAATCTGCAGAGAGAGGAATGCGTTTCTGTTTGTGTGAAAAACCTTGAAACGTTTAACCTTCATACCGACTCAGAGCAAAAAACTGTTTTAAATGACGCCACAAATATGAATCTGCACAGAAACCAGAATAAAACTAAATTTATTCTGTTTTATAACAGAATAAAACATAAAACATCTTGTTTTATGGGAGGAAAATGTACTGATGAATTTATATCCACATTTATTAACAATGTATTTATGGTTTTACTGTCAATCAGATTAGTAAACCTGAACACTGTGCCTTCCATTGGTGTAAATTTAGCTATGATGCTAATTTGATCTAACAGGCTCCTGAGGAACGAAACCGACTGTTGGATCTTAGCATTAAAGTTATTTTATTTAATTAAAATCTGCTTTCAGACCTGCAGCTCTGGGTGTTTCAGAACAATTCATCCTGAATGGACCAAACAAAGAGATTAAAATTGTCTCATCATCATCATCATTATCAGTCAGCAGGTCAGCGTTTGGATAAAAAGCTCCCTGGTCGTCTGTCGAGCGTCTTGCCGATGCGGCCGGTTTCCTCTGACTCAGACGATCTGTCCTGACCTTCAGACTGTTTTACTGCCTTGTTGACCTTTTTATGCAGTTATTATTTCTGACATTTGTCTGGCTGCAGAGAATCGATGCCAGAGCCACGAGGTGAGGCGAGTTTGTGCAGGTTAACATGATGGCGGCTCGTCACACTGGGAAGATCTCTGTCATTTCCTCTCCATCTGTAAACCAGCGAAGAAGAGAAGGAAACTCTCATGATGGAGAAACTCCTCTTGCTCTAATATCATCTTTAAAGAGCTAAACATGACGGGTCGGGATGGCTGCAGGTTAGCTGTTACCTGTTAGTAAGAAGCAGCAAACCTGCAGTTTTACTCACAAACAAAATAGAAAATCAATTAATCGTGTTTCCAAACTGGATTGGAACAAATCAATCAAGTTACCCAAACTGTAGTTTCTCCAGATGTTGACGTTACGTATGGTTGGAAGAAACAGGAAGTGGAGACAATCCTCCCCTCCTGGAGGTTTGGACTCAGAAACGTTTCTGACTTTGGTTCCTCTGGTAAGGCAGAGAAGCGCCAGTGAATCGCTGTGTCACGACTTACAAACGTGTTTCCGTCTCTTCTTCTGCATATCCATTCAGCAGGCGCTAACAGCATTAGCATGGTTAACCAAAGTTGCCCTTTCCATCAGCAGTTTCTAATGTCATACTTTTGTTTTAAACTAAATGTTTTGTTCAGTTTTAAGCATGTAGTTGGGAACTAAATATTTAGTTTAAAAACTAAATGTTTAGCTTGTAACCTGAATATAAACAGTTAGTTTAGAGCATTTTATAAGAAGACTCTGATCCTGAATTTCTTCTGGCAGTTGAAGTTTTCAGTAATAAATGAATAAATAAAAAGATGAAATGTGGCTCAGAAAGAAAACCCGTTTTATTCTCTGTCGGCTGAATAAACCAGAACATTGCTGTCAGTGTTTTACTCCCTGCAGTGTTTCAGTTCATTTCGGTTCAGGTTGTGATCTAAACTCTGTTTGCAGATGCGGCGGGTCCGCGGTTCCGTTCAGCCCAAACAGAACCGGATGGAGCTGCAGGGCAGCTTTTAATGAAACGCTCCCATCTGCAGTCCCACCGGACAGTTTAGAAGAAAGTTGGTTAAAGCGGCGCTGATATTGACTCGCTCAGTGAGAGCTTAAAGCAGCGCGGCGGTGACACTTTTATTAACATGATGAATGCTTTCTGGATGGGACATCTTGTCCTGCCGCCAACAGAAAGCTCTGATTTATGATCACTTCTCAGGCCGCTGTCAGAAAACAATAGCAGCGGGAATTATCGGGACTGGAGGATCTCAGCAGGACAAATTAATGATCCCGTCACACAGCTGGACTCCTGCGCCGCTCTAATCACTCCATGACCGAGATGTAATTCAGAGTAATCACTGCTTTTATCTGTGAGGAGCAGCTTCATCACGCTGGAGGGAGGAAGAGGAGCTGAGGAGATGAGGAAGAGAGGAGGAGCAGATGAGGAGGTCTCGGCCCGCCTGAGACCTCCTCATCTGCTCAGTTCAAATGTTTCAGCATCAGAACTTCACTGAAACCTTCTGGACCGAGAGGACCGGCCAGCACCGAACCGTTGCTATGCGTGTCTGACCCCGTTGCTAGGCGTGTCTGACCCCGTTGCTAGGCGTGTCTGACATAAATCTTCAGGTTCAGTCTGAGCTCTGATTGGTTGATAAACAAAATAAAACACAAAAATCCAAATCCTCCCTCATTGATCAGCTGATCATCATTTTCATGGTCATTTCAACATCCTGGTATTGATAATTTGATATTGATCAGTTAAATTAACTTTGACTTTAATCTCAGTTTCCTCTCCCTAATATTCCATCATAAAATTGACCTGAATTCAAAGTTCAAATAAACAGAAGCTGAAAACACGCTTATCAAACAAGATGGCCGCCGTGGGTGCTGACATCACCCAAGAGCATTGGTGGAAAAAAATCCAGATTTTCCCAAATTAAACTCCAAAACTGATTAATTGGTTTGGTTTTGGATGATGAACCGTTGGGGAAACATCTGGATGTTTGACTCGTCGGTCGTCCTCCGTGCCGGTCCCTCGGGATGAAGACCCGTCCTCCTCGGATCCTCCAGCTGCAGGGTTGCCATGGTGATGGAGGATCACGTGACTGACTGGTTTCAGGTCAGGTTTGTGACGAGTCTGAGGAAACGGAGAAGCATTAGTGTTAATAATTTGTGGATCTGTGTTGTGTAACTCTGTTAACTTTTCATGAATAAAGATAATTTTCCCTGCAGAGGGTTTAATGCTGGGAGAATCTGGTGGTCCAGATTTGGAAGATGATTATTTTTGTCCTTTGATTCTTCCAGGTGTTTGGACCTGTTCTAGCCAGATTACAGCTGGAATCTGTCAGCTGCTCATGAGGAAACTCCTTCAGACGGATCATCAACGAGTGAGACCCAAAAACCAAAATCAACCTGATATCAGATGAATATGAACCTGGAATCTGACCTGCTTGTTTTTACTGCTGGAGTTTTACTGGTAGAAATCAACAGGTTTAGTCCTGGCTGTGACTGGTTGAAACACAAAACAAAATGAGACAAAACCCCAAATCTGACCCCAGTAACCAATTAATAGAAATGAATGGGTCATTTAATCTGGATTATAGATTAATTACCGCACAGCGTCATGCTGCAGAGCCTGCTGCTGGCAGAGCTCTCACCAGTTTACAGAGGAAACTGGTTTTTCCTCCGTTTTCCCTTCTTACTCCTAACTTTTTCTCTAAGATGATTTATGAATTACTTTTTTTCTTACAAAATAAAATTCTGAGAGAAATCTTTGAGAAATTGTAAGAATTTCCCTAAAGTGACGTCACAGGAGCCATTTTTACCCAGATCCCGTTTGACCCTTAACTTGGCGTTTTGATGTGAACAACAAGTCCTGACGTTTCACAGGAAGCTAATGAAGTGAAGTTTAATTGCATGAGAAGATTCGCGTTAACCTGGAGCCGCAGACGGAGGACGAGGAGCTGCAGCTCTGGGAATAAGGAGCGCTGCAGCGATCAGAAATGTCAAGGTCAGCGCGGTAATTACAGCGTGAGTCACATCATCTGTTGTCCCTCGGCAATCAGGTCCACAAATCAGAGGCAGCGTCTGACTCAGTCTCAGATTAACGGCTTCAAAGGAACATGAAGGAGAAAACAGTTTAACATCTGAACTTTTCAGCAGAATCCGTCATCACCGACCGAAACGCATGAAACCTGCAAACTCACAGTTTTCCTCTCTCCTCACAGAACCAGGAGATCAGAAATGAACTTGGAGTTGGGTTTTTATTTCCGTTTCATCTGAAGCTTCTCTCTGCAGGTGAAGCATCAACATCCTCAGCTGAAAACAATCCAATCAGGCTGGAAGATTTCTGTGTTTCATCTTTAACTGTCAGTTCAGCTGAACAAAATGAGAGCAAAGAAATTTTATAAAGAGCAAAAACAAATATCGAGACAAGCTTACGAATTTAACAGATGAAAACAAGCTGGAAGATTACCAGACTGAGATACAAAAATATTACACAGAAAATGGAATGTAGAAATGAGACGGAAACCAGACACGTAATTAGAATGAATTTTAAATTAATGGAGATCATTAAAACAGACAAAATGACTAAATTAAAAACAGAAACTTCATCAAAACATGAAGTTCCTAATTACTCACTGATCTGACACCAAAACTCCAGCTGAGCAATCCACAGGAAAATAACACTTCCTGTAGTTAATCACAAATCTGTTTTCAGATTCAGCACAGATAAAAAAATAATGAAGTGATTCTGGAATATGCATTTCTAAAACTATAACCATCATAATTCTGCAGGTTAAGAGATCATCAGTGATGGACATCGTGCCCCACTGCTGCATCCGTGACGCACCAAGCTGCGTTATCACAGATCCTTCCTGCCAGCTGCTCCAAGCACAGTTAATATCACATCCTGCTGCTTTTCATGCACAAATATTCATCCTGTTTGTGTTTTTAAATGATCTTACTCGGTTCCACATTTCATGCTGTTTTAACAGCTGCACTGTTTTTCTTGTTGTAGATTTCCTTTCCTGTACAGTCTCGTATTATTTTTCTGATTTTTTAGCGTTTTAACTTCTTGTGTGAATCTGCAGCTGAACGTGGAACAGACGGAGTCAGGATGTCAGATTTAATTCCTCCTCCAGTGGGCTCATGTTGAACTGAAGCTGGATTCATGTTAGGACTAAAAACTCCCTGAACAACAATTTCCGTCAGCTGCAGCTGCCTGCTGAGGAATCCATGGGATTATAATCCCTGTTGAGCTGCTGCTAATTAGCGTAGCATAAAGACCAGAGAGCGGTGCGGATGCTAAGCTAACCTGATCCTCTTTAACCAACATGGAACAAAAAATTATTTAAATATATTTTAAATTTTTTGTTGCTAAATTGATTTTATCATCTCCTTCAGAGTTTTAATTATTACACATTTTCCCCAAGAGAGCCTGAAAAAAACGCAATTTGCAAATTTTGAGCAGTGTGTTTTTCTTTAATTTCTACAGCAAAAAAGGAACAGAGTGAAGAGTTTCTGTCTTTTTAATAATTCATAATTTATTTTTGTTTGTTTGTTTGACTCAGGGCCTGAAGGCTGAAAATCTTTTTTCTTCTCTTCCAACACAGAAAAAGAAAATAATTCACTTGCTTAAGAGAAAAAATGATTCTATTTCTCTTCCTGTTTGTTGGATAAGGAGGAAAAAAGAGTAAGAAAAATGATGAGACAGAAATATTTTTATCCACTTGCTCTTCAGAGCAAAACAAGATTTTAAGAAAACATTTTTCTTTTCTATTCTGTTGGTTGTTTGCTGTAGACATGAAAGAAATGTGTATTTTTTATAGTCAGAAAAACACAGTTGATGAATAAATAGATTTTATCCTCTCCTTCAGAGAAACAAATGTTCCTCGAGGAGAATATTTTTATATTCATGTTGAACATGACTTTTAAAAGCAGGATAAAAAGAAAACTTGGTCTTGAAATAATTATTGTTTTTTCTTTTGCCTTTAGGGCTTCCGTAGAACTGGGTGGTTCCCGCCCAGAACCGCAGAACCGCGGTTCGTTCCGCTGCTAGCGGTTAGCAGCGTAAGCTAACGGTCTGTGAAGGCCTCATGACCTTTCCTGGAGGTCGGCTCCGTGTCCTCCGCTCCGCAGCGGGGGGCAAATTAAACCCGCCTCCATCTTGTTCCCTTTAATGAAAGGCCCGTCAGACCTTCATCACTCCTCATCACTAAAGGTCAGTCAGCAGGTGAGCAGCAGAAGAAGCGGCTGATTTACGGCTGGCTGCCATTTCTATCACTGTAAATCATTAAAGTCCCAGGCTGGAGAGGCAGCAGCTCAGGAAGGAAACGTCCGACTCTGAACCTGCAAACATTCCTGCTGTTCATCTGAGATTCTACAGTAAATATAATAATTCACCATTTACCCTGTGGGTTAACGGTCTTTTTCCTTCCATTCAGTCAGTTTTTGAGTCTCCGCTAGTGCACTGTTTGTAAAATTAAAGATAAATAAATGAAGCAATATTTAGTTTTATTTAGTCTGTAATAAGTCGGGTTTATTTGTACAGCGTATTTCAGCAACACGGCAGCTCAAATGATTTTTATCATAAAAACTGCAAACAAACCGATTATGAAACAAAATGTAATGTTGAACCTCCAATTTGGATCCTCTGAATCTGCGCCGCCGCCGCGTTTTCTGCCGTTATTTAAGAGCAGAGGGCAGAACCGGCGGGTCCAGTTCTCCTCAAGGTGAGATGGATGTGCCAACAGCGCCGTTTTCCTCTCCTGGGATGCTGGACCCGATCTCCGTTCAGGCTCCCCAGGCTCAGTAACCTCTGGATAATTATCCGCCTCACAGACAGGAGGCAGCAGTAATTGGCACCTGAGATCCGCGCTCTCCTCCTCCGTCGGGGCTTTGAATAATCCTGACACCCGGGGGGGAATCTGGGGGGCACGCAGAGATAAGTGCTGCTTTGAGGGAAACAACTGGAGGGCTGCAGATAAACGATGCGTTCAGATGACTGGAGAATTACTTCAGAGTCATTCTGCAGTTTGAGAACAACTGGAACTGAAGGCAGGTCTTCAGGGGCCCAAGGCCCGGTAGCTCGGTCTGCCCCGCTGGACGTCCGTCTCCGTGTCCCACATTCAGCCAAACATTTAAAATTAATGTACTGCTTTGTTTTAGTTTTTATTGTTTTGTTGCCATGACTGAATGTTTATCATCCAACCCGGAGGGCAGAACGGTTCTGGATGGTTCTAAGCAGGGACGGGCTTCAGTTGGGTCTCCCACTCTGACCGGTCCTGGTTGTGCCGTTTGCAGTGAAACCACCCGCAGTGCTCTTCACGTGAGAAAGAAAACCGCAGCAGCTGGAACAGATGTTTGAGTTTGGGCTGAATAAAGTTTATTTTGCTCAACATGTCCTGCTTAAGTCTGCGGCTGCTCTACCAGAGTTTAACGGGTCAGAAACCTCAGAGAATCCCTGGACTTTATAAAACCTTCAGAGCCTCCAGAAAACGGTGGATTTGGCGACCTGATGCCGGACCGGCCCTCTCTCTGTGTCCCTCATCGTTATAAAGTCAGATGTTCTGAGAAGAAGCCACTCTGGCTTGAACAGCCATTGATCGCCCACTCAGACATCAATGTTCTCCCTCTCAATTATCATGAAAGCATCAGCGAGCCTCCAGCGGCGCACGCAGCCCTTATTGTCTGGTTTACAGCCAGAAGAGGCCGTGTAGAATCACAGCAGGAAGTTCTGCTCCGCCCCCAGGCTGCTTCATGAATAAATGAGCCTGTAGTAGCGGGAACTGATTGTCTCCCTCTGGCTCTGGGACCTCGGCGCCGGCCGGACCGTCCGGGTTCTCACGCTGCAGCGCTGCATTATTCAGGCTGCGGCTCCTCAGCATCGCTAACGTTTATCAGCTGTGAAGCTGAAATATTCATCTGGGCTGTAAAATAGCAGAGGCGGAGGAGGCCTTCAGTTTGATCTGTTGTGAACACGACGGAACCAGAACGGCAGGAACTTCAGTCAGGTTCTGAACAGGCTCGGCGCTCAGACCCGTTCACACGGCGCCGCTCTTCGGCTGAACCTGTAACGGTTTGTAAACGATTCAGTCGCTCGTTTACACGACACCAATGACCAAAGTCTCACACCGACACGTTTTCGCGTTTTCTGATACGCCCCCCAGTGGAGGTGTGAAGTACTTTGTGAAAATGAAAGCGCAGAACGCACAGCTGTCGGGTTTTTCTACGTATTCAACGGATGATAACAAACACAACGGCGGAGATCGTTGTGCTGCGTTTTGCTGTTGAACTTGTTCGGTTTTACATAATTTCTGATAAATATGTGCTTCATTCATGTGAGATGGGTTACCGTTTACTGTGAGGTGGAAGCTAAGGGACTAAAGCGCGTTCCATGACATGCCAATATCCCAGTGCCATCTAGTGGCCTGGCATGACAACTACAGCTGACTCAGTGCCGTTTAAACCTGGAACTTTTTCCCTGTTAGCATCTGAAAATGCGTCCAGCGGCTCGGTGACGTCCCTCCACTCTGTAATCTGGAGGCTCAGCAGAAAGCAGCAGTTTCCTGACTGATCGACGGATCCGGTCCGGTTCACTGCTCAGACCAGCTGGGTTGGTGTCGGCTTGACCCGACTGTAGGTGATTCTGCGATGTGGGAATAATCCGTCCGTCACAGGACCCCACAGACTCTCTGACCTCAGACTGACCTACAGAAACCAGTTAACCCAGCAGTCGTGTTCCTGGACTGGGAGGAAGCTGGAGCGCCCAGAGAGAACCCGCCCACCCACAGAGAGAACTGCATGCTGGGAATCTTCCTGCTGGTTGGAACTGGGAGAGATCTGGAGTCTGTCTTCATCGGGATGGGTGGAGAATCTTCCTGCTGCTGAAACATCTGGAAGGTTCTGCAGGTGAACCCGGTTTCTCCGTCAGGAAGGCGGTCTTCATCTCGGAGAGGAAGTCTTGTTCTGATTAAGATCTCTCCTCTCGGCGGCGCAGAAACAATCAGCCACTTTGTCTCTCGTCTCCCCGGGTTCCTGTGAGACAAACAGTTCGACTCTCCGTCTCTGAGCCCGACGGCCGTCTGATGCCTCTGATGTTGGAGCGCATCTTCTGACTGCGGCAGAAAGAGATGACGCAAAGCGTTTGATCAGCCAGCTTCTGTCTGCTCGCATTGTCTCAGCTCGGCGTGGAGTGTCAGGGATCTGACGGCTTCAATTAGCAGCTGGAGCGGCAGAAGAGCCGGATCACAAACCGGCAGAATGAGCAAAAAGCAGCTAAACCCCCCAATGTGAGACACGGCCAGGTTTGTTCCTCTTTCAAGTCTCTTTGATCAACTTTCCACCATGAAGCGTGAAGACTAACAGGAGCTTAG